ATTGCTCGTGCTAAGACTGGTACTGGGAAGACATTAGCCTTTGGGATACCAATTATTAAAAAAATCACTGAAGATGATGAATTAAAGAGTCCACGGAGGTATGATTTTGTGACTCCCTGGAATCTGGTACATAGAGATTTGCCAAAGATTTTCTAACTTTTCTGTATTTGTTGACAGGCGTTCACGTCTTCCTAGAGTTTTGGTGTTAACACCCACCAGGGAGCTAGCCAAGCAAGTGGAAAAAGAGATAAAAGAATCTGCACCTTATCTGAACACTGTTTGCGTTTATGGAGGTGTTTCATATGTTACCCAGCAAAGCGCTCTTTCTCGCGGAGTTGATGTGGTAGTTGGAACACCTGGTCGAATAATAGACCTAATAAATGGTAACAGCCTCAATTTGGGTGAAGTCGAATATTTAGTATTAGATGAAGCAGATCAGATGCTTGCTGTTGGGTTTGAGGAGGATGTGGAAGTAATTTTAGAAAAGCTTCCATCTCAGCGACAAAACATGCTTTTTTCTGCTACTATGCCAACGTGGGTTAAGAAACTTGCACGCAAATATTTGGACAATCCATTGACCATTGATTTGGTAATCTTTTACCTTTTTTTCTTAATTATCATCTTAAGTAATTACTTAGGCTTCTGATTTTTGACATCTGCAAATTTATAGGCTGCTTTGTTGTAATAAACCATGAAATTGTCTTGCCTAAAGATGCATGCTTTTTTGGATTATGGTGTACCTGAATAGGCGAGCTTGTTTCTTTTCATACATTCCCTTTTCATTCATTCATTTTTTAAAACTTTTCAGTGATATATGAACATCAATTTTATTGAAAGAAGTTAATTTGGTATGCATTTCTTATGTGACAATGTTGTCATGACAAACTAGTGTATGCTGAAAGGAAAAAAGCCAATTACGACCTTGAACAGGATCTGTTTTATAGGTTGTACTACGGTGTCCTTAGTTCAAAGGAAAAAAGCCAATTGTAATCTGAATGCCTACTGCAAGTTTTAAGGAGTGCAACTCACTTTGGAGATAGAAATTGCATTTAACTGTTCATATAAAAATCGATTGCTGCTATGTAAAAATAATCATGCTCTGTCAAATTTGTAGGTCGGCGACCAAGATGAAAAACTTGCTGAAGGGATCAAACTTTATGCCATATTAACTACTGCAACTTCAAAGCAAACCATTCTCAGAGATCTTGTAACAGTAAGTTTTGAAGCATACCCCCCTTCTTCTTCATACACTTTATACCAGTTTTTGGGACTTACTCTTTTGTATGCCGTAACCGCCACTCTGTTATTTGATGTGTTAAGTGGTTAATGGTTTGAATATGTTAGATTGTTACTAATTCTTTAAGTTTAAACTTTTTGTAAAAAATCAATTTCGATTATCAAAAATCTATCCTTCATTGAGGAGAAAAGGAAGATTAATTCTTTATCTATAAATTCTTAGTAATCACCTCCAAGGTTGTTTTTATACGAAACACTTAGCTTGATCATGTATAGGTATAAGCATGTGCGTGTATGTGTGTATGTATATACATATTCATTCTATTTAAAAAGTTATCTCAACTTTCATGTGATGGTAGAATCACAATTTTTATATTACAGTTTTTTCTTCTTGTAAAAATCAGTTTTCGTGTGACCCCAATAATGTCATGATTTCAGGTTTATGCTAAGGGGGGCAAGACCATTGTTTTTACGCGGACAAAACGTGATGCTGATGAAGTCTCTTTGGCATTAGCTAATACCATAACATCAGAAGCATTGCATGGAGATATCTCACAGCATCAACGGGAAAGAACCTTAAATGGCTTCCGGCAAGGGAAGTTCACTGTCCTGGTTGCAACCGATGTAGCTTCACGAGGATTAGACATTCCAAATGTTGATTTGGTAATTTCATCGGGTTCTATGCTTATCTTTGTCAATTCTGTTTGCTATTATTCAATGAAACTTATTTCCTTAATTCCCACAAAAAAAAAAAAAAAAAAAAAAAAAAAAAAAAAAAAAAAAAAAAAAAAAAAAAAAAAAAAAAAAAAAAAAAAAAAAAAAAAAAACAAGGAAAATGAAAATGTAAAGGTACTCAAAACATGTTTTGATTTTTGGTCGTTCTCTAGGTCATAAAGTTATCATGTTCATTTTGGGGTAGTAAACATATTAAAGTTTAATTTTCATTTTCATTTTTCTTTAGCTTGTAAAGTTAGACCGCAATGCTAAAATGTTCAATTTTTTATAGAATTTTTTTGTGATTTGACTTTCTCTTTACCTTCACTTCAGGTTATCCACTATGAACTTCCTAATGATCCTGAGACTTTCGTACATCGCTCTGGTCGTACTGGACGTGCAGGAAAAGAGGGTACTGCCATTTTAATGTTTACAAATAGTCAAAGGAGAACAGTTAGATCTCTTGAGCGTGATGTGGGGTGCAAATTTGAATTTGCAAATCCGCCTGGCATTGAAAAGGTCTTAGAATCATCAGCCGAGCAAGTGGTTATTACTCTTCGTGGAGTTCATCCTGAATCTATTGAGTTTTTCACTCCAACTGCACAGAAGTTAATTGATGAACAAGGAGCTGGTGCTCTAGCAGCTGCACTTGCACAATTAAGTGGGTTCTCCCGTCCTCCTTCATCACGGTCACTTATTAATCACGAACAGGTAATTAAGTATTCTGTTTGTGAATTTGATCTAATTAGAAAAACTGTTTTCCAGATGGCTATGTCATTGCAGCTAAAACATATTTATTGCAGGGATGGGTCACATTGCAGCTCACCAGGGATCCATCTTATTCTCGAGGCTTTTTGTCTGCTAGGTCGGTCACTGGATTTCTCTCTGACGTTTATTCCCCAGCTGCAGATGAAGTTGGAAAAATACATCTAATTGCAGATGAAAGGGTGAATATATCATATCTTAGCATGCTGCACCTATTACATGCCTTTTGTTTTTAAATTTCCTACGCATTTAATTTTGTTTCAACAAAACAAATAAATATTTATGTTGGTAATGCCAGATAAATGGAGCAGTATTTGATCTTCCCGAGGAAATAGCAAAAGAATTGCTGAATAAGGATCTGCCGGAAGGAAATACTCTTTTGAAGATCACCAAGGTATGTGTTTTCTTTCCTCCCCCTTCTCTCACCATCTTAATTTTTGCTTAATTAATAATAGTCCTTTATTGCTTCGAAAATAGTTTTCTTATCTCTTTGATGTATGACCATCATAAACATTGGGCTGTCAACGTACTTTTTGTTTGTAGTTACCTCCTCTGCAAGATGATGGCCCCCCAAGTGACAGCTATGGACGATTTTCTGGCCGAGAAAGAAGTAGCCGAAATAGCTCTAGGGATCGCAGAGGTTCTAGAACATCAAGGGGCTGGGGCGGCAGCAGCCGAGACTCCGATGATGATGGTGATCTATTTAGTCGAAATCGCGGTTTTAGATCTAACAGCAGCAGGGGCCGGAATTTTAAAAGCTCAGGAGATGACTGGCTAATTGGTGGAGGCAGCAGACGATCAAGCAGATCATCATCCATGGATAGGTAAACTTTTTTTACTAATTCATTTTGGAAATTACTTTGCTTCTTTTTTCTTTTCTCTTTTTTCTTTTTTCTTTTTTCTTTTTCCTAAAAATATTATATTATTTGTAATTTTTCATCAAGAACATGTTGACAACCATATCATATGCTGAATTCTGGATGAGAGTGATGTAATTTGAATATATATATATATATTGCAGATTTGGAGGGTCCTGTTTTAACTGCGGAAGGATGGGGCACAGGGCATCAGAATGCCCCAACAATTGAGGAGCACGGCCATCAATCAAAATATAATACTTGATTCAGCTTTTTGTTTCTTGTGGCGACTTATAAGTAAGTAGGTTTTTGGTGTCAGGTAGGCTATAGGTTGCATTTATCTTAATATTCAGTGGCGACTACAATATGCTCTCCTTGAAAGAGTTGCAGGAATGATGCTCACTCTCATGCTGCGTTACAACATCACCAATATTCTCAGTCTGTTGTCCTATTAAGTTTTGCGCAGTGAAGCATTCAGAATTGAATTTTTGTGTATGAATTGAATTATATGGACCTCCTTTTCGCCCCCATGTAGAATGTATATGTTCCAGAGACCGAATGAAGAAATGAAAACAGCATAGCATTCCCTCGGTTATAACTTTATTTACTAATTTGTTGAGCTGCATTAGGGGGTGTATATTTAACCTGCTAACTCAAGAACCAACCCGAATCATAAGAGTTGGGTTGGATTTAAAAGGATTTTGGATTTGGGTTGGGTTATTCTTTGGAACTCAATCTGGTTCGAGTTGGGTTGGGTTTGAAATTTAAATTATTGGGTCAACTTGATCCAACCAAAATAGGCTCAAGCCCTGCTCCCCAAGCCCATGAGTCTTCATTTGCATCTGCCCCTGGTGAGGGTCTCTTTACTCTTTGACTGTGTTCGAGATTTTGTCTTGCAGTCTCACGCAGAGTTCGTCTTCGTACCTCGAGGGTAACTGGGTAGGTGAAATGAAGTCTCGGCCCTTGCACTTCTGGTCTCACACTCACATCACAACGTTTGTCTTCATCGTTTGTCGTTCGACTCCCTCATCTCTTTGTATGTCGTCGTTCGACTTCTCAATTTTCATCTCACTCTCGCCTCGTCTTTGTGTTGTTGGTTGCTCACCTCTTTATTTCTTTGTTGGACTCTCTTCTAAGTTCCCATTTCTCTGCTCAACCTTGTCTTTGTGTTTCTCATTTGATGTCGCCAACTGTCTCTCTACTCGGCGCTCAGTTGTTTCACAATCCGAATCCAACTTAAAAATTTTCGGGTTGGGTTGGGTTGGGTTGGGTTACCTATCCAACCAACCCGAACTCTTGAGTTGGTCTAAAATAATCCATCAACCCAACCCAACCCAACCGGATCATGTACACCATAACCCCACAAATTCTCGTACAATACCGAAGATGTTAAGCAAATTTGAATGGTTCTTCCCGTGCTGAGTAAACTAAGGGTGAAGATCGTCTTGTTAAATGTCAACCCAATCACAACGACAACAATCATCAAGAAACAGTCCAATAGAACTATAAGTTGCAAGTTATGAATAGGCAATCACAAAAATAAAAAAGAAAGGTATGAAGATAAGTAATAAATACCATTATAGATTGCATAGATATCTCTAGTTATCGTGAAGATCAAAGTAAAGGAATTTCTGCGACTACTTGTTGAAGAGAATGTTGATGAGGGTCCTAAACAAGGGTCCCCTTCCCCTTTTGGTATGGAGAATCTCCTTCACATCCTTCTCATTAGCCACAAACCCCTTAGCCTCCATTTGCACCAACAACTCTCTTGCTTCATCCACTTTGGCATCCCTCACAAGAGCCTCAAAGACGGCAGTATAGGTCCCAGCATTGGGTCGCAATCCCCTGCCCATCATTTCCAGCAAGAACTTCTTCGCATCCCCCACGAACTTGGGATCCGCAGCAAGCCCTTTGATTAGAACAGTGTAAGTATAGGCATTTGGGGTCACTCCAGAGGCAAGCATTCGCAGGTACACCTTGTGAGCTTCCTTGCTCTGACCCGCGTTCACGTAGGCTTCTATGACGGCTGTGTGGGCGACAACATCAGGCATGTGACCTTTGTCCTTAATTTCAGAGAAGAGCTGCAGAGCCTCGTGGGTTAAACCATCCTTAGACATTTCGTCGAACATCTTGGCGGCATTGTTTAAAAAACCATCTGTCCTCATCTTATGGAAGATTTCCTGCAAATTCTTTGGGTCTTCCGCCTCTTCCACAACCGGCTTCTTGCTGAAGGGATCATACGGCGGTGGGAGATTTTTGGTTTTGCCCACTTCTTTTACGGACCCAACCCGAAAATCGTCTTCTTCGTCTTCATCGGAGTGTGAGATTGAGAAATTGACTTTGGTGTTGATCTTGTTAGCTTCTGAAGATGAGGAGTAGGCGAACAATCTGTTGTTGCAGGCGTTGATATAGAAAATGGTCAGTGGTTTGCAACGAAAATGATGATTTAGAAACGATGGGTTGGGGGAGAAGGATGAAGGAGATGAGGCGATGGTGGTGCAGGCAACAAGAAGGGCTCGAGTTATTCTGTTCGCCATAGCCTTAGCGAATTGCGCGTTAACCTCCCTCTCTGTAAGTGGGGATGCGGCAGATGGATGCTGTTCGGCGGAGTGCGCTGCAAATGCTCTTTTCCTGTGAGTTCTTAAGAGGCCTGGCAGAGCATGTTACTCTCCCCCCATCCCATGTGACATTGATATGTTCTATTTTCCACATAAATTTTCATGGTTTTGATTAGGATAGGAAAAGCATCGGAATATAGAATTATTTAATTATAAATTCATGATCATTATTTACATAAGTCGATGTGAAACTTTCATCTAAAAGGAAAAGGAGTCGAGGGTCCTCGAAAACATTGTAAAAAATAAGGCCTCGAATAAGGAGAAATGTAATTTGTTCAGAGGTACTGGAAGAAAGTAACACATCTGCTAATTTAGAGAATTTAGGAAATGATCATGAGTGAGACGTTTTGGGAAATTTCAAAGTAAAATCATGATAACTTGTGCTCAAAGTGAATAATATTTACTACGGTAGCTGAAAATCATGATAACTTATGCTCAAAGTGAATAATATTTACTACGGTAGCTGAAAATCATGATAACTTGTGCTCAAAGTGAATAATATTTACTACGGTAGCTGAAAATCATAACGTGAATAATAATGAAAATCATGAATTATCACATAAAAGAAGTTTTTTTTTTCCTTTTAAAATAGAAAATGCAAGTATTTCCATTTATTTATTTTCTTTGGAGACCTGATCAACCACATTCACCCGAACAATCACATCCGATCTACATCAATTTCATCCATTAGGCTCACAAACACCTTCATTTAAAGAGCAAAAGAAATTCCTTTGTAACTCGTTTTTATAATAACCAATACCTTCTTTTAAATCGCACTATTAAACTATTTAAAAAGTTGCTTCATCTTCCCCCTAGTTTCAAGCCATGGCCTCAACACTCATTGTCTTTCTAATGGTAAATACAGAATTTAAATCTTCATACATTTTTTTAAGAACATGTTAAATTTCATGTACACTTGGGAACATCGATAAAACTTATACAAGTCGAGCAATCTAATGTCAAACCACAACATAGTTGACAAACTAAATGAAAGAAAAAGTTGAGATATTTAAACACAGTACTTACAAACATATGAATAAGAAATTGGGCAGCAATTTTAGATGATGCATGCAAATTGCAGACAAAGCTTGCTTTTGCATGAATTCTTAAGTCGGAAAAAGGAAGGTTTGTTTTGATGCTAACCTAACTCCTTTGTTTATGCAGCAAAAGAATCTAGGAGCTGTTATACAGAGATCATGCTGATCCTCACTCAATCAATCAATTATATGCTAAATGTGATTGCTTTGGTGGTGAATAATATGAGTTACTACTACAGTCAATACCAGTCTGCATCAATGGATTCCATCGGTCAAATATTATCCTGCCACCTCGCCCGATCCTACCTCGAAGTTTATGAGATCCCATTGACACACTGTTCCTTGTCGGAGATTCTGCTGATGGTGGTACTATATTAGCAGCAGCCAACTTCTCTGCAACCAGAGGTTTTGCAAACAACAACACTGGCTCCAGAGGATCCTGCACAAATCGACAATCCCGTTGAACAGTCGAGAATACACGATTAGTGTTCTAACAAGAAAAACTATTGAGTTTAAATGTAAGTCAGTTCTCAATATGTTAAACTGCTCGGCAGGATCGATAGGACACTTGTAGTATCTGCTGCTATTGTAACAAAAGGATGCTAAGTAAGGTTATAAACGACTAAGGTACCATTTTGTGAAGCCATCCATGTGGCAGTTGTTGCCTATTCTCTTGCTTCATGCTTTCAGTTGGGAGCACAATCATGTTTGTCTCCCTAAAAGATCCAGAAATTCGTATTCGTGGGGGGCGACTGGTTGCGATATCGTCCAACTCCACAAATTCATCCTCGCTTGAACCAAACTTACAAGAGAAGGGTAAGAACCTAGGAAGTGCTAAGCTCTCTTCCAGAAGTTCAGTTTCATGCTGAGATCCGATGAGAAACCATGCACCAATATTGTAAGAAAAACTTAAGTAGATAGAGATCACTAGAGTAAGATCAAACCAATTGTCCCGGGTATATGAGAAATATATAAAAATAAAACACATAATACACACGTACCTTATACTTCAAGTGAACCCTCTGAAGGCTGACTTCACTTTCCATCAGATCTCTTTTTTTCTCTTCTCTCTGTAAAAAGATCACGTCTTGAGCCAATCCAGTGTTTAAATGTCATATAACTAGCTTCAAGACAAATGCAAACGCACGTATAATAATACATGAGAACAATGAGTAATCACCTTAATTAAAGCCTCCAGTAAGGTTTTAGCTTGTTCCAGGTTGCGCCTAACCTGAAATTTTACAATCCCAAACATAAAATAATGAAATTTAGACAATGTCAATCTATATTAAAAGAAGATGGGCATTTGAGATCATTACGAGATAGAATAAAATTCAAAAGAAAAGGCAAAATAAATACAATTTTGAGCTCACAGCCTACTCAATCTATCAAACCATAAGAACGTCAATGACTCGAGTAAGAACAATAATCATCCAATAATTTTGTGATGAACATTCAAACCTGAAATAAATTGTTTTAATTCACATAAATTAGTAAATCAACATGATTTCTTTCCACAGTACTACATTCCTATGTTACAGTATATTACATACACTCCTTGTACTAAACTATTTCCTCTGCCTTCAATTTAATTATCTTCTTTTTATTATTATTACAAGTAAACAAGTGAGAACATATTCAACAATGAGGCAGCTTAGTTTTCATTCGTCCAAGATTATTCAAAGTCTGTCTTGAGTATTCCAAAAGCTAGCGATTATAAAGACAAAAAACCATATTCTGGCATATTCTGGAAACTAACCATTCAACTAACAAAGCAAACTAACCAACAGCCCGCCAAAACTAAGACTTCTTTATTTTAATTTTTTTATGTGAAACATTCTAGTATTTCGATGATGAGAGGAAATATACACAAAAGAGGTGGAAGAAACCCTGAGCCGAAGGAGGTTATAAAAAAGACCTCCAATTGGCCAAAAGAGAGGATAAGCTGTAGCTATGAGGAAAATGGGAAGAATTTTTACACTAAAACAGCCAAAAAGGATATATTATCCACCAAGCTATCAAAGCATGCCTCAACTGATTAACAAGCTATAAATTAATTGACTAAGCACAATGTAACAAAATCTTAAGTAAATCAATTGTGGTCAATGCCATAAAACCTTTTCTTTAGGAACATTGGTTTGAAAGAAATCAAAGAATTTTCCATGAAAATTTTCAACTTTTGCACAAAACCGTGGATACTGCCAAATTTCATGTTTCTACTTCATGTGCTCTGTTTAAACTCTCTTGCAACTATTTCAAGAATATAATCCTCCGTAGATGGGAGGCCTTGTTATAATTTACTTCAGTCTTCAGTTTTCTTTTATATTATTTTTTTTTGAAGAAAAAGGATTTCATTAAAGGTGGTTGCAAAAACCCTTACAAGTAGCACAAATCTATCAAGAGAGTAATTTTATGAGGATGTCATTAGCATGCTATCTTTCTTGAAGAACAACACTGGTAACTTTTGCATCATCAATAAAAGACGTTCTCTAGTATGCGCACGCATGCATTAAATTAAATTTAATCCATGTTTTGCAACCATGTCCTTGGTTGTTCGCGATTTCTTGTTCTCCAAATGGCTTGGTTTCAGCTATTGGGATAAATCAATTCTTCCTTGGAACCTTACATTTCGAAGATTAATAAAAAAAGCAGAAATTATTGATTTACAATCTCTTTTGGGTAGCTTTCTTTTGTAAAGATTGATTCTAATGAAGACTCTCGCAGATGGACACTTGACTCCTTTAGTATTTTCTCTTAAAATCGTTACCTCATCATTTGGCTTCTTCGATCCCCTTGGAAAAAGTAATTTTTGCAGCTCTTTGGAAGTCTATATGCCCCAGAGAAGTAATATTGATTATGATCAATGATGGCCAACCATATCATTTTTTACTCCCCCTACTCTCGATCTAGTTGGCTCAAGTTGCTCTCTTTAAACAATATCTAGTGGGTTTTCTCGGGACAATGTTCTGCAATTACTCATTGGTTCTCTCTTTTGATCCTAAGGCCAATCTCATATGAGATGATGCGGTTAAGGCTATGTTTAGAAGTGGTTTTAACTATGTTTAGAAGTGGTTTTGAAATGGTTACCTTGCTTTTTTTTTTTTTTTTTTTTTTTTTTTTTTTTTTTTTTTTTTTTTTTTTTTTTTTTTTGGGTACTCCAAACCATGCTTTTAATTATTCAAAAAAAATTTTATGGCATGAAAATTGCATTTAAAAGTGTAAACTCGAAAGTAAAGTTCGTTTTGAATGGTTAAAGACATGTTTTAAAGTAATTTTGAACATGAAAAAAGTGATTTAACCAAATCACTCTTAAACGTACCCTAAAGCTATTCTATCATAATTGTATATGGAAACAGATCAAAGAATCTTCTAGCGAGCAACTCTCTGGGTTGAAAATTTTGAATAGACTTCCTCTTGTATTTTCTTCCAAAATATTTTGCTGGATTTTCATTACAAGATATTTGTCTCAATTGGAGTGCCTTTATGCATCTTTCGTAATTTAGTCTAATTGATTGTTTCTGTTTTTACTGCTTTCATTTACCACTTTCTCATTTTCACTCCCTTATGGAAATTGTATCTTTGAGCATTAGCTCTTTTCACAATAGCCCTATAGATATGCAACTACCTATATCGATGTCCCAACTTTAAGGAGGAATTACTGGAAGTAAACATTACCAACTTACTAACGAAGCTCACCCAATTATTTTGATCCAAAATTAGGCTATTGGACATAAAATAATTCAAAAATACTTATAGTGCAGATCAGATTTTTGCTTTCCTTATTCCTTTTACCAATGCTTTTCAGCTTCTAGGTTAGGATTGTAAGCACTTTATAAATATACAAACATACTCATTTAACAGATGCATGCAGTGCGAGCACACACAAAGTCATTTCCAACGGCAGCTTGGGCTGAATGTAAAAGTGAAACTAAAGTAGTCCTATAATGTATGCAACCATGGACTTACCTATAGAGTAATTAATAAAAACAAATGTCTTATAAACAAT